CGATTGCCACCAAGCGAACCTGCATTCAAAGAACATGTTTTGCGGTCATGTCTTCAAACGAAAATTTGGATGTCCTCACATCTCGATCACCCAAATTCTTTGTCTCCTTATGAATACGGATGGAAAAAGAGTTCACATGGCCCGGATCCAGTCTACTTTTTAGGCATGATGACGTCCGATTTCCTGCAAGATTTAATATGTTCTTGCAAGGGGAAATCTATATGTAGCAAGTCATGTATTTGCCGAGAGCAGCAGATGTATTGCACTGAGCTTTGTCCATGTCAGGGTAGTGATACCTGCCAAAATATATATTCTAAAGAGGACATCGACCTCGAAGATCAAATGAATGACGATGATGAAGATGAAAACGATACCATTGACTAACGAAAGAGCATTTGAGCAAAGGGGCAACATAAATTTTAATTTGCCATACTGTTATTCAATGTGAATATGTATATTATTATTAATTTTGTGTTTTTGTAATAACTCTACCAGCTGAAATAAATGGTTATATACTTAAGTTCCGTATGCGATGATAGTGGTAGTTAAAAAAAAAAAAAAAAAAAAAAAAAAAACTTGCTAGTGATCTTCGACCTTGACGTGGTTTGCAAGCTTAAGACAATTAAATCATAATGTATTTATAACTGTCGAACTAACAGGAGACCAAAATAACATATATTTTTAACTGTGCTGTAAACATGGTAAATATGCGTTTTAAAGCAGTTTTACGATATGTTTTAATATAGTTTTATCAATATTTTGTCGGTATAAAAAACATGCTAGGCGAGACATTAGAACTTAAAAAACTAGTTATATATGTTATTAATATAAAACCAATAGAATTTGTGTGTTTTCGGTGCAAAATTAAATATTACCGAGCGTTTTGCGTCAATACCAGTAAAAATTATGATTTTCACAAAAATACGAGATTTTTTCATTTTAAACACTTTTTTTTAAATTTTATTTCAGAAACAAAAATTAGATAGACTATAGTTTATCAAATGATATATTTCATATTATATTGCAGATTAATTTGTTTTTAAACTGCATTTTTCTAACAATATCGTCAAATTATGACTTATATTTTTTTCCCTTTTTTGCCGTTTTTAGAAAAATGTGACCATTTCCCAATTTGACGACCAGGCAATTCTGAATGTACGATAAAAGACCTTTCAAATGATATATCATATAGCCGTGTTTTAGGTAGGTGCATTAAAAACCTCCGAATCCTTGTTTTGGCGCTCGTCTATTTATAATGGCGTTCGATACCTCTTTCTGATATAACACGATTTTATGACATTCACACTTCTGAATGTTGTGTATACCAAATTCATACTTTATTTTCAGACCGTATGAGAATATGTTTATTTTCAAGAAAACATACTGAGTATCAAATTAATTTCGTTGGTTTTTTTACTTGGTATTAAATCACAGAAATTTTAAAATACTACTGCTTGTCCGCTATTAAGGATTATTCTTTTTATTTTAGAGTGGGAATAATGTGTCCTACTGAAGAATATGAATGACATGTCTTGCAAAGGTACAAGATCTAACGCAAAAAAAATCCGATTCCTCCAGTCTGTCTTAAATACAAATCACAAACGTTTTCTTGCACTGAATAATATATGATTAACACGTTTCAGCCGAACTTAAAATATTTATAATAACACCCATCGTTACAGTTTTATTTCTTATTTATATTCCAGACTTAGAATTGAATAAATATAAAAGGTATAACCCTTTCGAATCATGAAAACTTCCGTTTTTATTACCAAAGTAAACTCCTCATTTTGAAGTTGATTGTAATACAGTTAGTTGGGTTTTTTCTTAAACAATAAATATCTAACAGTTTTGAATCATAAAAGATTTCTGAAATCAAAAACAGTTTGTTATATTTGATAAAAAAAAAAAAAGGATAGGAAGATCGTTTGCTGAAGTATACGGCTACGTTCCACAAAAATAGATCCCGTCTAAAATCTAAAACTTACCTTGGTGTTAAATGATTTTGTGTGAGTTCGGTTTTTTTTTCACCGTGTGAACGAGGTTTTATACATGCTTATATATGAATGTTTTATATATGTGAATATTTACATTGAAGCAAAAGTATTAAAAACTTTCCATGGAAAATTATGTATTTGTTTTTTTGGTTCCATTCAACATAGGCAAAAACACACACCAAGGTTTCAAATATTTAGATAAGAGTATTTCTGTACATTTTTTTAACAGTATAAGGTAAATCAAAAGCGCTTTAGATATACCAATTTTATAAAAAAAAAATCGTTTTGATCAGTCAAATGATATACTCTTTTTATAAGACTTGATTATAAGTTTCCCCAAGATTATTTCTTCGTTTTTAAACTGATCAAATAAAAAAATCATTTTTATTTTAATAACTTCTCCTTTAGATTTAATTTGAACATTATATATCATTTTTATAACATCGGATTTCTTCATCCTACATGTATATGAAATGCATGTTCAATATCATGATTTGGCTAACAACGGACCTAACCCTAAATATAATTTAATATTCCACGGCGATCTATTTGTATTTGCCACTACCTTTAATATGTATTTTAACTTTGTGTATTAAACTCGACCTTCTGTCTTATAATCCATTCGAAATGACATTCACACCTGGCACGGTGTGCCCTGGAGACACGGATAATTACCGATCTGCAAATTACCTTGATGTTATATCAAGCCTTCCACGGGTATTGCCAGGGAACAATACACATTGTGTTAATATAGTCCTAGCGTAGAAATGTTTGCTTGAATTAAGGGTCAAAACGTACCGTGACTTATTGTCTTTACAGTTAAAGTTATATTCTCTAATTTTTTTTTCACCATATTCGTTGGAAATGAAAAAGGAGTAGGGGCAATAAGGCCCTAATTTGGCCCAAATATTAGGACAAAATGAAAAGTTACCATACATTAATTAACTTTGTTCAAACTACACTAAAATAAAAGGTGTTCAGAAAATGAAATCAATTTTTATATTTATTGAGATACCATGGCAGCAAATTATGACGAAATGTGTATATTTTGTAAAATGTCTTTATTTTCCTTGTTTAACGTCAATCCTTATATATATATACGATCTGAAAAGTATGTGCGCACCCTAGAAACAACTTTATATTTGGTTAGAATATTTCAATAGTTGTGATAAAGCTTCTCTTAAATTATTTTGTTGTTTCTTGTATGCGCTAACCCGAATAATTCAGTCGTTATATTCCGCTGATCTACGATGGCTACATTAACGCCTGAACGCCTTCGTCGATAAAGTCCGTCAACCGGAAATTTTACTTCGCAATGAATTGTGGGAGTTACAAATAATTTGGCGGTAAATTAAGGAGGAGCTATCGATGTTTGTATTCATATGTAAATATGTGAAATGGATCATTGTAATCGGATTTGTTTTCATTGTACGCATGTGTTTGACCTTAACAACTTAAAGAATGAAAAGAGGCGAAATTTGAAAAACGAAATAAAAGAAGTTAATGCTGTTAAAATACTGTCAGAGTGTTATGAAATAGATGAAGAACAAATTCGCTATGTTGTTGACTTGAGAGTTGATGATGTTTTCATTTGTAACCAATGTGTTATTACTTTAAAGGCCGTATTGACGTGTGAAACTAAGTTGAACAACTTATTGAACAATATTAAGAAAAGTGCTTCACCACAATTCATCGAATTCGCTAATAACTTACAAACTGTTGTTGACCAAGATAAAGATGAATATCCTGCCATCCACACCATTACAGAAAAATGCCCATCAACGACAGAAAAATGCCCAACCACGACAAAGAAGAGGGCATTACATGCACTCACACCGTCTAAATCAGAGTGCACCCCCAGGGGAAAGAGAAACAGATTTTCGACACCAAGTAAGGGGTCCAGAAGACGACAGTTGAAATTCCAAACACCAAAACCACCACAGGCACAAACTCCAAAGTCATCACAGACTCCATCATCTTGCAGAAAGCTAACAGAAACTTCCAAGCTACAATCGCCTGGTCCAAAAGTGAAGGTAACTAGAGACACAAACTTTACTTAAATGTTCTATATTAAAAATGATGATGTAGACAGTCATGAATAGTTCTATAAAAATAAATGTACATGTATATGGATATACTCACTGTATGAAAAATTGTACACGTATATACATGTACCCTTCATTTTTTATATATATACTGCTCATTTAAATACAAACTCATTAATATTTTATTATAGTATACACTTGCATTAATACTATGTGTATTTATATTTTAAAGATTATGTAAAGTACAATGAAAGTATATCTTTTCTTTTGAATTCTTATTTTGGTACATGTACATGTATAATAACAAAATGTACATTCAAAATCATCTATAACATATACATGTATGTACATGTAACTTCCAAACAATAGTTATTGTATATATTTGATGATCTGGATATGGGTGACCCCTTCCTTTATCTTTATAATTTTTAGACCATTTAATCTCTTCTTATCTCATATATTTTGTCCATTATTTTATTATTCTGTAAACCACACCCAGACCCTCATACATGTACACAAACCCTTGATTTTATAAAAATGCAAATTTTTCAAATGTTAAAAGATACGATACATGTACAATGATGTATATAGAGACTTAATCCATTTTATATACATGTACTTCTGAAATTCTTATCTAGAGGTCTTTTTTGTTTTTGCAGGTTCAAATAGGTTTTAGGAGTAGTCGGCGAAACTCACTTTTGCAAGGCCCTGGTAAACTTGCTTGCAGAGCCATTGTGATGAAACAGTACAAAACAGCATTAAATCACCTGCTTCAAATAGATGAGGTAAAGAAGGATTTGGCAACTACTGTGAAAAAGGCACTTGACGATGAAGCACAAAAATTATGTAGATTGAAAAGTTCAGTATTCAAAGTTTCCAACATTTCAAAGTTCACATGGAGGTCAGCAATAAGCCAGTTAGAGAGTACATGCCCAATAACAATGGACATTTTAAGTGCTATTATTGAAAATAGTAAAAAGGACAAATTAGTGAAGACCCCAAGAATGGTGACCAGTATGGGTGTACTACTTTTCAGTAGAAACAGGCAGATGAACACCTTACAAGCAATTAATAGTGTCATGATGTACAGAGGACATGTGAGAACAAGGGTAAGTAAAATACATTTAGTATACATGTACATGACATGTGTATATACATTTATTATATCAGAGGTAACCTTAAAATCTTGTTGTTAACTACTAAGGTTCATGTACATGTATTGTGTTTAAGGTATTTAGCATTCACTCACAGGAGTACATGTAACTGCATGCACAAGTTAAGAGTAAATTAAAGTAGGTGATAATGCACATCCCTTTAAAAAAAAGTGAAGATAGATAAATTTGTGTTCCATACACTGTATGCATTAAAAGCATGTCATAGCCCTAGGTTATATATATATATGCTGTAATCAAATATCATGTTGTCAATGTAACTATGAAGTTAGATAAATTTGTGTTCCATACACTATACATATACATTAGTATGCATTAAAAGCATGTCATAGCCCTAGGTTATATATATATGCTGTAATCAAATATCATGTTGTCAATGTAACTATGTCTACATAGTAGAAGGGGAGGGTGGATTCAAACCATATCCATATATGTATGCTTAAGTCCCTATTCAAAAGCATGTATTTAATATTGTTTGGAAAAAACCTGGACCCCCCCACCAAATTGATCATGCTATACCAAGTTTTAACAACATGTACTCAGTATGCTGAAACATTTTATAGAATTGTAAAATTTAACTCAGATATACAAATTAATACAACATATTATGTCTGATTTTTAGGTTTACAGTACATTTAACAGAGCAGGGATATGCAACTCCTACAAGGCAACATTAGGCTTAGTAGATCAAATATGTGAAAACTTTGATATGCCTGTCAAGAAGTGGTCAAAAGAGATGTCTAACCAATATCAGCTTAACACAGTCACAGAAGATAGTAGTTTAGGTATATTGAGTAACATGTGATTGATTTAGGAATTTGATAACTTAAATAATAGCTATCATGGTTAAATATTTGCATTTCAGTGAAATATTTAAATTAGGTGTGTCAAATACATGTATGCTTTTCAGAAGAAAAAAAAATTGTGTGACATCAAATCCAAATAATGATTAGCATGATTAGTTAATACATGGACAAGGGAGGATGATTCTATGGTTTAATTTTTTTTATTAGTTTATAATTCATGTAATTATCATCAAAATTTAAGAAACAAATGATGTAATTACATATCATGCCATTTGCAAATATTTGTTTGATTTCAATTTCTTTTATTTCTTTATTTTGTTTTATAGCATACACTGTACAAAATGTATATAAATATGTACATGATGTACACAATCATATGTATAGTTTAGTATATCAGTATATGTACTGTTTAATATCATCAGAATCTGAAACTTAGGATCTTTTACTTTAAAATTCCAGAACATGTGAACATGCCTTTTCTTTTGTAGGAGACCATTGCTATTCTACTATAGACAACACTAGTACTGTGACCTCTAGTGACCATTGCTACTCAGTTGCACTTCTTGTCACAGATACCCCTCTCAAAGGCAAAGAGTCAAATGGTGATTTACCCTCCATTGATGCTAACGAAGTGACAATCCCAACTATAGAATGCTTTGGTATGTTGATGCAACAATTTATATGCATACATGTACATGTAGTTTACAAGATATGTTAGAGCACCCTAAAAAATTGTAGGGATTTCTTGTTGTTCCAATTTAATTTCTTTTTATTTTTTTGGTTGACATGTTTGTCTTATCGGTTTCTTTCCATTTTATTAATGGTGTTGACAAACAAATTTTTATCTTCCCCTTGGTATCTTCTGTGTATTTTTAGGAGACTCCTGTTTTTATTGGTGGAGGATAGGGTGGTGCTTCAGACTGCTACTGGTTGTACATGTATATTTGTTGTTGACAGCATATATTTTGGTTCTCGCTAAATAATTTCAACTTTTAAAGGTACAGGATGCTTTAATTCTTGATATTTAGAAAGGACACATGAATATAATAGAGGTCTATGTAGTAAATATTAGGTGTCTATTTTCGTTGTTAGTTTTTTTGTCTCATTGACATATTCATCTTAAGTGAAAGTATGAAATGTACTTTGGTTCAGAGAATTTCATGACTGAAGATCCAAGATTATTCAAAGGTCGATCAGAACATCAAATATGTATGAACTCTGTTAGATAATTGTCTCAGTTGAAATCATACCACATCTCCTTATTTGTATATATAATTAAATATATACATGTAACAAAGAATAGATTTAAGGAAACTACATACAGTTTATTATAACACACGTTTGAATTTATAGACAATAAATTTAGGATTACAATAATATACAATTTAATGTCAGAAATCATTGTTCATTACAATATCAATGGTTTTTGTCAAATTTTTTTCGTACTCTAGCCAGTAAAATAAAACACTTTATAATACACATATGAAACAAACAAAATTTACATAAAAAAAATTTGCTACTGTCATTCCTAGAAAACTTTGAAGATAAATTTTATAGGGGAAAAAGATAATTAATTGCTTCAGAAAGTCTGTTAGTGATTTGAAAAGCGACTATTAAACATTAACTAAATAACATGATTAACCTTTATTTTTATTTAGTTAAATGTGTTGATTAACTTGATCCTAAAAGAGTCATTGTTGACTGTAATACATAAGCATGTATATACACATGTACTGTTAAAATATTAATTTATTTAAATTTTTGTTAAATCATTGTTTAAATTTACATGTGTATTTACAAATGTAACTGCACAAAAATTGCAATAGTTTTAAACATGTTATAGGTTTTCTATTTCTTCTATCAACAACAGTATGTCTTCAGCATAGTCATGTTTAGAAAGCCCCAATTCTATCACATCTTCAATACACATAATGGTATCAGAATGACGAACTATTTCCTCTATTAACTGGCAATCAAAGTCATGGATGTTGCTTGGATTGTCTTCACATATAACACTTTGGTAGTCTTGCAAATTAAGTTTTAATAATTGCATTTGCTTACTAGTGAGATACCTTACAGCCAGTTCATCACACACAACAGATTCGCTTACATTTGCAAAGTCAACATTACACCTCGGTATGAAACAATTGTTACAATTGCACTGCTCTGAACACAAAGAGCAGCAAAAACACAGACCTTTTTCAAAGTTTGATGCCTCGCTTAATGTTCCCAAACTGAAATGGACATTTAGAACTTTACGAATACATCCTGAAGTGCGACAGAACTCTCTCATAGCATCAGTTGATCTGTCCTTAGCAATGTCTATACCCGAAAAGTACAACACACAGACACATTGTCTGCCGTCTCTTCCACCACGACCGCTTTCCTGCGAATATTGCTCCAAACTACGAGGGGCACCCCAGTGTACAATTTGTTCAACATCCGGTATGTCGACCCCCATACCAAAAGCCACAGTGGCAAATACAAGACGTAACTTACTGTCCTGTTTTGGGAATTCAGACAGCACTTGCTCCTTATTTTCTTCTGTTGTGGAGCGATGAAACATGGCAATTAGTCTACTATCAAAATTCAGAGTATCATCAATGTTAATGTAAAAATGTTCATACAAATTTGCACATGCCGCTATATTTCTACAATAAATGATTGTCTTCTTTGCATTTTCCTTGTTTTCTAGTATGTCTGCAAGGATCCAGTGAAGTTCATCTGTTTGTTTTCTTGATTTCTTGATCACATACGTAAGATTTTTCCTTTCAGGCAACATACATACGGTTTGTGTCTCTGATTGGCACATATCAAGGTGTTTAATAATCCTTCTTCTCATTTCTTTGGTTGCAGTGGCGGTCATTGCTATAAAAACTGTTTTGTCAGGAACAATGGAACGGAGGTGTGCAAGGTTCCCATATTCTGGTCTGAAATCATCACCCCTGAAAAAATATATACAAAAACCATAAATATTTGTTATGCAAATATAGATACTCATAATACAATGTTAAACAGTGCTTACTATGAAATAATGTTCGATGGACATTATTTCATGGGGGACATTATTAAATCCTACACATTATTAAATTGTTTTATTGTTACATTGTAGCAAAAAAACAAATGATTAAAAGTATATGTTATAAATATATACATACAACATAACATGTATCGTTTGAAATTTTTACAGACTGTGTGGTACAGGTTTTGTTCATTTGCAAAAGGCCATCCAGTCTCTTGTGGAGAGTTGTCTCATAGGCAATCATACTTCTTCCACATATTATTTTTTCATGCATGATCTTAATCAAAGCTTAGATCAGCTGACAATGTTGTATAGTATAGACACACTAATAGTATCATTTTAATCAATACCGTGATAACTTACCATTCTATGATGCAGTGAGCCTCATCAACAACAACAGCAAAGAGGTTGTCGTGAAATATTCCAGTGGTAAAGCAACGTCTCCAAAACCCTGGTGTCAAGGCAGCTTCTGGAGAAGAAAATACCAACTGATATATACCCTCTCGTATCATATCAGCAATGTTCTTGTCACTTTGGCATTCTCCAACTAAAGTTGCTGAAATTCCCATCTTATTGAGCTTAGAAACCTGATCTTTCATCAAAGACTGAAGCGGCGAAATAACAAGCACTGTACCAGGAGTATCTCTCACAAGTCCATGAATCTCGGGTAAATGGGAGTATATTTTGCTTTTCCCATATCCTGTTGGTAGGACAACGAATGTATCTTTACCCTCCATGATGTATTTTACCGACTCAAGCTGTTTTTCTTTAAAATTAAAGGGATATTTCATCTCTATTGTTTTCAAAGCATTAACGACATCCATTTTGATTGTTTATATATTGCGGGCGGAAACTGTTTTCATAGATTTGCGCAGACTCACAATCTGATCGTCGCCGATTGGCTCTCTCTCACAGAGAGCCAGCGACGCGACCAATGATCATTAAGAGTTCAAGCCCTCGCGTGGAAGTAAATCGGACACGGGAGAGGGATTGAATTATTCGAGTTATGTATGCGCATGATGTTTCCTCGAAGGAAATAATGACGGAAAACTGCACAAACCTAGCAGTTTTCTATGTTTTATTTGAATTGGTGCATATTATGACGTAATTGTGACGTCATAACATCAAAAATTTTGTATAATTCAATTATATTTTTTGTGTTTATGCATTTCCAAACATTATGTGCAAATTTGGAATAGTTCTTAAAAAATTTATTTTCTTGGGCCAAAACAGGGCCTTAATGCTCCTACTCCTTTAAAAAAAAATAAAGGATTTACTGTTTGCGCTGTCAACATGTCAAAAATCGAAATATATACGATAAACATAGAAAATTTTATCTCATGAATGTAAAAAGTTGCATGTCTGTTCCTTTTATTTTCTTACTGTCGGATGGTACTTAGCTATCAAAATTAGTCATCGGCGCGCTTATGATTACGCTAAAATATGTTTAAAGACCAAGACTGTAAATCCCGACATGCAATACCATGAGTTAACGTCACGTACTACAGGAAGTAGTCAATATTTTTTTTTTTAGATATTGATTATCTTCTTTATTACTGCACATATAGCGATAAAACTGTGTGAATATGTATTTTATGTTATAATGAACCTATTTAAACTATAAGTAAAAAAATCACGAATTTTCCCTTTAATATCAACGATAGACCGGTTAGGTTCATCTTAAGGAAATAGGTTATATCTAGGACTATGGATTCTCGTTAATATGTGACGCGGTTTTGATTTTTTGATTTGTATGCATTTAACTTGTTCACGAAACTGTACAAATAAATCTATTCTTAATTAATTTTACCGTTATTTGTTAAATGTTTTCTGTAAACCTTACAAGCTTATATATTTGTTAACATTGATTCGATAAAATTTAATTTAAACGGAAGTCGGAAATAAGTGACGATGCATTCATACACGTCTATCCGGACACTGCAGTTGACATCATTTCCGACCCAAAACATATGTACTAATTTGTTGGACTCATTGCAAGTCATTTATTATTGCGTTTAATCTATTAAATAGGTTTCTCAGAGGTCTTTATTGACTGTGTTAATTTTTTTATCGCGAAGTTTTTATTCATTTCTAGTATCAAATGTCGCCAAGAATTAACACGGACCCTCTGAACTTCGTGACGATAATAGCATTTCAACATGATTTCTGTTTGGAATTGGTTCACAATTTGTCATACCGGGACCATTAATAGCTTACTTAACGGAATGGGTTTTGCTCATTGTTGTAGGTCATACACTCAGTGACCTGTAATTATTTACAGCTTTGTCATAATGTGCATAGTTATCATGATTGTTTCTTTGGCAATCATCAAACATCAATTTATTTTTATATTAATGTATGCTTATGTTTTCAGTTTTAGTACATAAAATTAGATCACATATTGAAAGGGGCTTTACCGATGCGTTTCCCTTCCGTGAAGTTTGTTCTCTAATGTGTTGTATTTACCATATTGTTTTTTTTACAAACTCCTATCTAGTTGTATGTTGAATCCA